TTGATCACTATTCCACACGATTTTATGAGTCTAAATAGTCTTTTGGAAGCTATTTTCGCTTGGCCTTAGGTTTTCATATTATAAATTTTCCGACATTATCTATCGCGGATCCCTACTTTCATGGACTGAAAGAAAAATGAGGACCCTCCCGAAAAAAAAATCCACCTTTATGTCACAATTTTACCTGGATTTCTAACTCAAGTCAACTGATCGAAACGAAGAACGAGCTATTAAAATTCCTTTTAAACTAAGTTCTCTTTTGAAAAGTTTAATTTCAACACATTAAATCAACCCGATAATCAGAGCAATACAGTTACACTGCGGGACAAAACATTTTATCTTTACACTGTGGGGACTATATTAAAATTTGTTGATTACCCAGCCGGGTCAAATTATTAAATAAATGAACAACGAAATGATTTATACAGCTTACCTTTAGATAGTTACATTTTGCCGCTCTCCGCTGTTATACCCAAGAGTTCCTGATGAAACTAAAGTCTCAACAAACTTGCTCTGATTAATATGCTAGGGGTTGTGCTGAATACAAAACAACGGGCCTTGCCAAAACACTTAGCAGTGAGATAACGCATGTCACGCAGAGCCGAAAAGTATATTCATTTGGTTCACTGACATTTTTACCATAATCTATCCGTCATTTAAATATCAGGACTCGAATAAAGAGACTCCCTCATTACCACGATTTATTGGCGAATCCAATTAGACGAAATTTTATTGCCAGGAATCATTAGCGAATTCATTTAGACGAAAAAGTAGTCCATGCTTTTTTCGTTTCGTTGACAAATTTCACTGATCACCTTTTTGGTCCCCTTAATTTCTCATTGCCCCAGGACCAGAGCAATGGGGACTATACAAACAAATATGTTAATGACACTTTGATCTTGTTCTTATCTTAAACAGGCTTAGTCATCGCCTTTGCGTTGGTCCCCATAACTTGGTTTTGTTTTCCCGTAGATATAGAGCGGTTTTCACTTGACTGTCGTAAAACCAAAACCAAAGTAAATACACTAGCCAACCAAAGGGCGTAGTAAAACCAAAACCAAACCAATTCCTCAATTGCTTTGGACAGTCAAGTGAAAACCGCTCTAATCACTTAACTCAGAAAGTTAACAGTAATGGTGTCCTGTGTTTGAAGCACGCGGAGACCCCTACAGCACATGTTCAGCCTAGTTCGCTATAATTACCAAAAATTATCTAGCAGGTCACATTGCAGCACAGAGGAAATAGCAACTATTAAAGAGAAACCAGACATTTTATTATCTTGCACTAAATATTATAGATATCCTCGCAAAAAAATCAAGTTTCCTTCACGATTTCCCTCAAATTAAAAGTCGATTTCCATCGATTTGAACAGTATGATAAATCATTTTTAGAGCAAATTCTGAACAAATAATAGCGTAAGGGAATGCGTGGGAAATTTTGTTTTCAGATCCTCTGGTGAATATAAACAGGCCAGAGCCCATATGGGCCTGACTGCTATCATCCACAAAAAATTATCCCTTGGATTCCATCTAAACCGCGCAAACTAGCGTTCATTTGCAGCAAGAATTTCACATTTAAGTCACACCAACGTTTCAATTACGCCGCCATGACGGAAGCAATTTTATGTTTTGAAGGCAAATTTTCACTTTGACTGTGTGTGTCAGTAATCATCAGTTCCCGCCAATTTTTTTACTGTCGATCAGTTGCTATTCCATTTTGACACAGGAATCGATCGAAATGCACTCCTTTTTCTGGCAAGTCTCATCGCCCAAATAAGTTATTTGGCCAAAATTGTGACAATAACAATTACATTTGCGCCAAGAAAATTTGCTAATATCCTAATTAAAAAATCCTGGCGCATATGTGGGGACCCTCTATTAGTGAGGACACAACACGTCTGTAAATTTTTATCACTATTGCACACGATTTTATGAGTCTTAATAGTCTTTTGGAAAAGCTATATCTATCTTATAACTTTTCTGACATTATCTATTCCCGATCTCTAATTTCATAGACTAAAAAATAATGGGGAACCTCGCGAAAAGAAATCCACCTTTATGTCACAATTTCAGTTACTCGGACCCGGATTCCTAACTCGACTAATTGAAACGAACAAGGAGCCGTACATTTCTTTTAACAAACTTTTTTCTTTTGAAAGGGCTTGATAGTTTAACTTCATCAAATTAAATCAACTCATTAATCAGAGAAACAAAGTTACAATGCCGGCGACAAAACATTTTATCTTTACATTGTGGGGACTATATTAAAATGTGTTGATTACCTAACAGGACAATGCTGCACAGAGTTAACAACTAAATAACGAAATGATTTATGCAGCTTGCCTTTAGATAGTTACATTTGCCGCGCTCCGCTAGTATACCCAAGACGTTCCTGAGGTAACTGAAAGCTCAAAAAAACTTGCTCTGCTTATCATACTAGAGGTTGTGTACCCTGCGAGCAACAATTGAACTACGCAACAGCCTCACAAGCCATGCACGCGAACGACTTCGTAAACGCTAAAAGCCATACAAGAGAGAAACCTCTGCTCGCAGGGAAGAGGTTGTGCTAATTCGTCACCAAAAGATGAACGAAAATATCCAAAACAATCACTTGCCGCCTTGCCTAAACACTTAGCAGTATAAATAACGCACGTCCACGCAGAAACAGCTTTCATTTGGTTCACTGAGGTCTTTGCCTTGATCTAGCAGTCATTTGAATATCAGGCCTCGAATAAAGAAACTATCGCAGTATATTTATTGCCAGGAATCATTAGCGAATTCATTTAGACGAAAAAGTAGTCCATACTTTTTTCGTTTCGTTGACAAATTTCACTGATCACCTTTTTGGTCCCCTTAATTTCTCATTGCCCCAGGACCAGAGCAATGGGGACTATACAAACAAATAGGGCGTTTAGACAACGGCTTAATATGCTGTTATCACAGTATGTATACTGCAACATTTTAAGCCACTAACTAGGGTCGGTATGCTATTACTGGCCTAAAATATTACATATATACCGACTAACAAGTTAAGCCATTAGTTACTGGCTTAAAATATTACAGTGTATAATAAGTTTGGTAAGAAATTAAGCCGTTAGTTATTGGCTTAAAATGTTACAGTATGTAATAAGTGTGGTTCCGAATTAAGCCGTTAGTTATTGGCTTAAAATGTTACAGTATGTAATAAGTGTGGTTCCGAATTAAGCCGTTAGTTATTGGCTTAAAATGTTACAGTATGTAATGAGTGTGGTTCCAAATTAAGCCGTTAGTTATTGGCCTATCATAACGACATCTGCGTCGAAATCCGTAATCTGAAGATTCGAAAGAATGCTTGCTTAACATGAGCGAAATGAAACGTTTCATTAGTTTAGGTGCTTTGAGGGTAACGGCGGGGCGTTAATCAAAACAATTACAGTCAGTGTACTATTCCAATTTCTTTTCCAGTTTTGTGGAGTTGTTTATAAAACAGCAAATAGCCCCTTTCCTTCTTAATAACTTCCCAATCCGAGACCAAACCCTATCTCCTCATAGTATGTGTAAAAGTGCTACGCAGAGTAGAGGGAAATTCATTGGGTAATTACTCTTTACCATAAGTGACTCGGGTAAATTAAACCCTTCATAGTCCTCCCAAGCAAGAAAGAGACGCAATCACACATGTTATCTAGTGTTTATTACTTAGTAAAGTGGCTTCCCGACCCCCTCGCTTTGCTTAACTTCTGATGGGAAAAGTTTGCCAGAACAGCCTTTGCTTTGATGTGAGGTTTTTATAGGTCTTAAAAAAGTCACTACCAATTCACGAGCTCAACAACCTATCACGTCCATTTGGTCACGTGCTCCTGGTTTAAACCCTGGGAAAACACTGTCAAACTAAAAAGTCTGGGGGCGGCATTTGATTTCAGTCCAGGGCGAAATCGGGGTTGATTGTAATTTGTTTCGTTGATGTTCTTTCTTTAGCTCAAGAAACGTCCGCTCCGAATTGGTCATGCAGTCCCAAAACCACACAATAATAATTGTAACAATAATTCCCAAGGCGACCGGCCACGTAATGCGTGCTTACATCTTCAAATCCATTTGTGCAACATGAAATTAAAATTATCACACTGGTACGCTAAACCAAAAATCATCGCACAAGTTCGCCACACAAACAAACTCGGATATTCCCTAGAGATTTTCGCCTCGTGGTTTTATAACCCGATAAAACACTCTCGCTCGTTTATTGAACAGTACTTAACCGCTTGGCAGTCAGTTAACGCTCTCTAACCCTCTCCTACTTTTGTACAAACTGCGCTACTTATATCTCGCGCGAAGCCACATGCGACGCAGTGATTGGTCGAGGCCAGTTGCTATTCAAAGGGCGGTAACCTTTCAGTATCCTTTGACGGATTAGCTCCCATTCCCGGGTTGAACTAACTTTGTCTAGTTTCAATCTAGATTTAATGATTAACCGGACCTAGGTCTATGCAAAACCAACCGAGAGGTGTTTCAATACCAATCACCGCGCGTACTGGTCTTCGTTCGTTACCTGTAATAGTTGACTTGTAGCGTGCTATCAATTACAAGCTTGTCGGAACGTGATCTCATTTCGGAAACGGTTCAAAAACGGTGAAAAGCTTATTATTGTTAGAGTTGTTTACCCCACACGTACTTATTCATGACGGTTCAACCCGCTACAATGACAATGTGTACGAAAGCCAGGTCTAAAACGCGGGTCACATTCCACGGGCCACAGGTACAGGTCACTGCTTTATTGGTTATTGATATCTAAGGCAAACAGTTTCACCTTGACGTAAAACACCAGTTTGGATAACGATTAGGGCTAGGAGACACTTTTGCGCTTGTTTATTTTTCTGTAGCACTGTGACCGGTATGTTGACCTGTGACCAGTGACCTGCGTTGTAGACCCGCCGGTGTATGAAGCGTTTGCCTGGTGCACTTCTTTGCCAAGTCAATCAGCGGATGGTTTGACACTATCTTTGATCAGGGTCAGCTAAAGCACTTGAATTACGGATCTAACAAACGTACATCCTTGCTATTTAAGTCTTCAATCCAATCCGACCACCCAGCAACGACTGTTCCGTCATCTTCAATTCTATCCTCAAATTTTACCAAGTACCCTTCATGTTTCCGGTATGCCACGATTTGTCCTTTGCACCATCCCCAGTACTTTGTCACCTTTCCTGATTTGTTCTTTTCATCATATTCAACTTCAATGACACGATTGATTAACGCTCTACCATTCGGCCTTCTTTTCTGACTGATTATATGGCGGCGCTTGTCTGGTGGACCTTCATCTCCTGAATTCCCAATGCTTGTAGGCTTTCGTTTACTTTTTGGTTTACCAGGTGATGCCCTATAAGAGGTTGTAACATTATCTTCGCAAACTGCTGTTTTCACCGCTTGCAGGCGATCCTCCAGGTAAATGTTTTTCATTAAAGTATGAAGAACGGTACAGCCTTCATGCAGTGATTGTCGGTTCAATGCCTCGACTGGATTGGTCGTACATGGTCCTTCTTCCCAATCTTTCTCTTCCATTTCCTTAAAGGCCCTTGTAAACATTGCTAGGTGATTCAACCGACACCACCACTTTCTCCAGTGCTTCAGTTTTGTCCAATTATGGTTGTCAAGCTTGTCAAGTTCAGAACACAGGTCGCACTCAATCAACTGTTTAGCGTCTTGCAGTTTCCTGGAGCCCGATAGTACATCGAAAGTTAGGTAAATATTTTCTTTATCTCGTTCCTCTTCGATTTTGCGGGCTAAATTTTTGAAGATTCGAGTTTCATCCTCGCTTTGGCAAACCAACTTACAGACTCTATTCACTGATCGTTGCCAATGAACACTGCACCCCCGGATGACTTTCTTGGCCAGTTCTTCACCGAGACATTCTTTCAGTCCTTTGTATTGTGCATCGTCGAAATCCACGAGTATAGACTTTAACTTTGCACCGTTTGAGAAATGAGCATGATCATGTGAAACCTTGTCGAAAATTGTGGTTATAGACTTGGCATAAGTCTCGCCATCTTGTCTACTGCACAGTACTCTTGCGACCGCGTTATACACGCACGTTTGATCGTTGAAAGTTACGATGTTAAGAAGGTATGGAAAAAAGTCGTTGCCTGTGTAAGTCACATCCATGAAGAAATCTTCTGCTCTACTCAAAAGAGTTGATTGAAATGGCGACATAAAAAACGCGTACTTCCTGGCAGGCGTAAAAATATACTCAGATCCTTCCACCTGATACTGTCCCATCATTTTGTTGACTTTTTCTCTTATGTTCGTGCTTTCATCATATAACTGGTTACCTTCCACTTTTTTCCTAATTTTATCAAAACCAAGTATCTCATCTAGTAAACGAAGTTCTTTATGAAAAGACATCCATTTTCCAAGCGCCATTTTCCTCTCTCTCCTCACACGGTCAGCGTTAGCTGCAGGTGAACTGGCTTCAGCGGGGACGTAACCAATTCCAAATCCCTTCATGATATCTTTGGTACTTTTAGTACTATCATCAGATACCACTTTCCTGATGTCCTCTTTAACTTTGCTCGACAGGATGTGTGGTGCTGGTTTTGAGTGATTATGTTGCGTGCCTGGCACAACCCCAATCCATCGCCTTCCATCGTCAAGGGATGGCCATATGTAAACCATATGTGCAGGACACAGTCCAGTGGAAACAAGAGAATGACTGTCTCTGTGGTGTACACATCGATTGACCTTTTGTCTGTTAGAGACAACATAGGAACAGTCAGGACCAGTACACTTCTTCACACCTTCACAAGGCCCTCTTCTCACATTCAATGAGGTATCCACACCATCTATAACTATATTGTGCTTGGCTGTTTGTGTGCTTCGTTTTGACAGCTGATTATCATCCCAAATAAAATGAGATTGAGTACTGGGAGCGAAACTTAACTTTCTATAATCTTTAACGAAAATAAAGTTTGGTTGCGACGTCGCTGAGGATGTGTCAAATCCTGGGAATTCATACTGGTCCTTAAGCGTTAATTCAATCCAATTTACTGAATTCTTCAGGCAATCCTTTATTTTCGGCAAATGATGATGTCCTCTTCGAGTCCTTGCTCTTGTGACTACCTCCTTTTGTTTTGTTTTTTGATCGAAGGGATCGTTTATTGGATCCAGAACCAGGATATCATAAGGAGAATCAAGAAATTGCTTCCCTTTCTCGGAAACTTTGTACTGCCTCCATACTCTTGTGAATGACGTGCACCTTATTATGTTATATTTTATGTCAATCAACTGTAAATTAATAGCTTGTCTCAGAACCCTTGACCACCACCCTTGGGAACTTCTACCTTCAAAAGTCTTCGTACCAGCGGAATATGTCTGCGTTTCCTCCATGATTTTCTGCATTTCGGGTAGAGGGAATGTATCTTTCTTGCTCGCTCTTAACCATCCAATCAGTACTTCCTCTTTTACCCCTTCCTTATAAGCCCGTATTAGTCCAAGGTCTAAAACTGCCTGAAGTAGAAGCCTTATCGCTTCCTTTGCGTTGAAATCTCTTTTATCTTTGATATCACAACTGGAACAACACTCGTCTACACACTGCAACTCCAGCTGACCTTCTCCAAACTTACTGATTATTTCCTCTCTCATACATCGCCCGCAGTATATAGAGTAGACCCAGCGCCATGATTGAATTAGTTGTGCTTTTATCTGTTCTTCTTCACTTTTTGAACAGTTTTTGGTCGAGAAAGCTAATCTTTGGTCGTCCTTTGTCTCATTGATTAGAAGAAAACCATCAGCGTTGTTACCACTTCTTCCAGCTCTGCCAAATTCTTGGATCATAACACTAAGGTTACGCATGCAACCCACCCTGAAAATATTGTCCACATGTGGACTATGTGTGCCAACCTCATAGGACTCAGTGGCTACCAAAACTTGAAACCCTTTTCCTCTGAAGGCAGAGTCAGTCTTCTTCTTTACATCGTGAGTCATCCCTTTTCCGTAATAAGGTCTAACATTTTCTTCGCCTAATAGCAGCTTGAGTGATGATGTCATTAGTTCAACATCACTACGGAAATCCATGTATACGATGGCATATTCATCACCAGAAATATTCTTTATATCCGTAGCACATTCCGACCAAATGTCTTCCTTTGTATTTTCTTTTACTGCTGATCTGGAGCTCTTCTTCTTCTTTGATGTAACGTATGATTAATGTTCAACTTGATGTTGCTGCGATTGATCGAACCTTTAATAAGGACAGGATTCTTCAAATAATCCGCGCACAAACTCTGCATTTGGGTCTGACTCAAGGTGGCAGTTAATGTCATCACAGGCACGCAACTGAAGCTATCCTTAATTCCTTTGAAAAAATCGTAGCTTGATCGGAAATCGGAGTTCCGATCAAACATTTTGTGCACCTCATCCAAAACCAATAATTTGACATTTGTCTTGATTCTTTCAAGATTGTAAGAAACACGATCGACGAAGTGCTCAGGAGTCGTGAATACGATTGATGGGAAAGAATTGCCATTATTATTATTAAAAAGTCTATCATGATTCCGTTGTGCGTCTTGTCCAGCGGGCCTTCCTAACGCAATGGCATCAATGTTTACTTTCTTCAACCCCTCAATCTGTGAGTTTATTAGTGATATGGTAGGGGTTATTACGACCACAAATTTTTCGCGCTCGAAGAGAGAAGGCAACTGAAAGCACAAACTCTTACGACTTCCAGTTGGTTGTACAACTATCACATCTCGGCCGAGTTGAACGCTTTGAATGGCTTGAATCTGGAAATCGTTCAATGAATTTAAGCCAAATTTTGTTAAGTGCCCCTTCCAGAGGATCAAATCGTCCTCTTTAACAGAAGGCAATTCTTCGGGTGGAGTGTAATTACCATGATCATTTTTGTTTGTTGTGTTAGATGGAGGAGAACCTTCACTTCGTTCCATTTCTGGGGTTACGTACAAATGTTCTACCTCACCAGCATCGGCGATAACAGTTTCAGTGGGTTTTTGTCTCATCGTTAAGTAAGCCGCAGTATCTTTTTTTTCCTGTGGAGAATGATCTTTTTTTTCTGTGCTTTTGGAGGAGGTAGGACAAACCCGGAGTAGTCATATAGGCTACAATAGGTCCTAACCAATCAGAGCGCAGCAAAAATTTGATCCACCAATCAGAATCGAGCATTTAGCCCATGTGACCAAATTGACGTCACAATGCCCATATTTGGGCATCCATGTTCACGTGACCCCATGGGGAAAAGAACACGCACACACAAGAGGTTGATCCACATTCTTCACATAGTTTTAATGAACGTACCGCGTAGAGCCTGGTTACAAGTGGGACGTAGGTGAGGTCCTAGTGACGTCAAGCCCTTTTTTTCTTACAAATCTAATAGCAGGTCGAGTTCATCCCCAATCCTCTCGTAGCCATAGGGATAGCTCGATCGAGTGGTCATATCGATAACGCGCTTCTCAAACACCAACCCATACTACTTCACGCGCGGAACCACTTAAATTTGTTNCATTTAGCCCATGTGACCAAATTGACGTCACAATGCCCATATTTGGGCATCCATGTTCACGTGACCCCATGGGGAAAAGAACACGCACACACAAGAGGTTGATCCACATTCTTCACATAGTTTTAATGAACGTACCGCGTAGAGCCTGGTTACAAGTGGGACGTAGGTGAGGTCCTAGTGACGTCAAGCCCTTTTTTTCTTACAAATCTAATAGCAGGTCGAGTTCATCCCCAATCCTCTCGTAGCCATAGGGATAGCTCGATCGAGTGGTCATATCGATAACGCGCTTCTCAAACACCAACCCATACTACTTCACGCGCGGAACCACTTAAATTTGTTTCTTCTCTAGATCCCGTGTGAAATGATAAGGGGTGACAATGTTCAAATGTCGGCGAGAGTCCTGAGGCGAGTCTAGTTCCGAGAGAATATTGTCTTTCATCGTGTGGAAATTAAGAATCGCAGATCCGCGGACGTTCAGCGTGAAACCGCGTACCTTGCACACTACTTTGCCTGCGCGAGTCGTGTACCCATAATTCTTGGCGCCCCCAGAAACGAACTCGGTGATGACGTCTCCGTCCAATTCATCGGTCATGTCCCCCAGAAAATCACCCGTGGTAATGGAGGGTTGACCGGGACGCCATCGGTAAATCACACTGTCCGTATCATAGTAAAGGACTTGCTGTTGAAGGATGTCCAGGGACTCGTAGAGCTTGAGCCGAGCATGGCACGTAGTGAAAGCCGCCACAAAGATATTGGTCTTGGTGCCTTTGACGGCATTGTCTTGGACACTGGTGTAGACAGCCTCCAAGATGTCGTCGGTACAGAGACGGAGAGTACTGAGATCGAGAGCCGCATCGGAGATGAGATTGAACAAATGGGCGGGGTCCTTGACAGTGACGGTGGTGGGTTTGTTCATCCGCTCGCCGAACTTGCCCCAGAAACTGTTCAACATCAATTTGGCGGTAGCCTTGCGACCGGGATTTTTGGCAATGCTGGCGATGTCCAGTCGGATACCCTCCCGTTCCTGGTAGCGGAGAATGTACTCTCGTTTCTGCTCGAGGGTCTGACACCAACCGGGCCACCCCGCGGACTCTTGCTTCAACTTGAGCCAGGTGTTGACGTATGTGGCGAAAAGACCCGTCCTGCGTTGCTCGGGGGGAAAATGCCAGACTTCGTGGATCTTGACCAGCGTGTACCCCTTTTCGCCGGCTTTGACGAGTTCGGGCGTACACCAGGTTCCGCGTAGTGTACGATCGGCGTCCGAATGAGGGCAATAATGGGTTCTGGTCAACATGGGTTGGGCCTGCTCTGTCTGGACACAGGCACGGCAGAGAGGAAAGGTGAGCTTTTGGCCACAGCGTACAGGCAAGACGGGGTGGAATAGACCAGCCGGGGGAAGAATGTCCACAGTAGCCAATCCAAAATAGGAACCCAGTGACTGGTCGGCGGGTTGAGTGATGATCTTGGGATGACCAATGGGGTAAGGGCAGTTCTTGTTCACCCACGGGTACAAGGAGGTCACATCCACATAGCGTATTTCCTCGCCCTCCCCAGCTACAGTGTGCAGAGCCACCGCGCCGGTTCGACCTCCAAAAAAGGCCTCGCGGGGTTCCAGGGGAGCCACCAGATCGAAGGAAGCCTGAAACTGAGATACAGCGGGCTCGTTGTCGACCAGTCGGTCCCAGTCACACTCCCACATTTCGATGACGGTGTAACCCGCTCGGAGCAGAGCCATGCGTTTGGAGAGCGTGGCCTGATACAGTTCCTCCACGGTTCGATCCGGCACCGCATAATGTTTGGCGTCTCTGCTGGGATAACAGCGGGGACAGCCATGGTAGAGACATCCGTGGAACTCGTAGACGGTTCGGGTCAGGGGATCGTAGCCATCGACAAAATAACTGTTGGCGATAGTTCGGACCGACTGTTCGCCCCCGTTACGAACATGACGAATGCGGTCGGCACTGGCCCCCTCCTTGGGAATTTGATGTTCTTGATAGTACAGCCATTGTAGGGCCTTGAGGGATTGGTTGACTTGGGCCCCTCGCCAACCCCCTAGTGGTTCGACAGCGATGGTGTCGGGGGTCAAATGGTGCCTGCGCCAATACAGATTGCAGGCACTGGCAATCGTGATACACTTGGCCATGGGATTGAAGCCAGCCTGCCGTTCAAATTCTTGCTGAAAAGCTTCACACCCCGCTTTCAACAGAGCCACATCCGATTTGCAATAGTCAATCATTTCTTGACGGAAATCAAAGCGCACGTTACGACGGACTTGATCCGCATGCCAACGCGTCAGTTCGTCTTTCTTTTTGGCCATCATGCCCTCGGGATCGTAAAATTCCAAATCGGGGATGCGGCCCACATACTGTTGATGATCCGGGGTATTGAACAAATGGGGAAAGAAGCCCTTCTTTAATTCGGTCAAATTGAAGGTGCTGGGAAAAGAGGCGAGTGGCATGGGCAAGAAACACAACGAGTCAATGAATTTGACAGCTCCGCTCCTGAAGGACAACACTTTCGCGCCCACGGTCAGTTGATCCACCACTTCGCGTTGTTGCTGGTACAGTTCGTGCA